AAACATGTTATTACATTTTACATCCAAATCTGTGCAACCCATATGTATAGCAAACACAGATGCACTAAAAATTTTTGCTCATGAAAATGACGATCCTTTTAGTTACTTATTTATATATATATGTATGTATGTATGTATGTATGTATAAATGATATATTATATAATTTATATAATTTATTTATATAATTCTTAGCTACAGAATTATATAAATATATGTGGTGCAAAAATGTGCTCTAAGATCATCAGCATTTAATTTCCTGCAGCAGTGTTGAATATGTATGTTTTCTGTTGCTCTTGTAACAAAAATCAGTTCTGACTTCACACAATCCCAGACTGCATCTCTACAGGAGTGATTTCTCTTTACCTTCTCTGTAAAACTCTTTGAGCTTCTTGGAGATCCACTGCATGGCTTTAGCAGCGATCTTGGTGCCAAAGTTCCTGTCAAATGGGGAAGGAGCACCACCCTACACAGCAGATGAACAATATTCTGATCACATCCACAATTGCATTTGTGTGTGTATGCAAATGTGTGTGTGTGTGTTTGTACCTGCTGCATGTGTCCCAGGATGTTCTTCCTGCAGTCAAAGACTCCTTTGCCCTCTTCACTGTACAGCTGGTAGATGAAGTCAGTGGTGTAGTTCTCACTGCAGTTCTCATTCCTGTAAATTACAGACACACACATACAATCACACCTCACTGCTTCTACACATATAGAGCTACATGATACACGAATCCAGTGTATTAATGCTGTATGTAAGAGAGCTAGATCATACCTGAGCACTAAACCTCTCTGGATGCTGGTCTTCATCTTCTCAGTTAAATGTTCAACGTTAGACTGAAAAATAGAGCACTCATAAAAACTCAGCATGATGCTGACGTTCTCTCTCTCTTTCCTTAAATAGTACACTCTGCTAAATATTCCTGCCTGCGTGTGGGACAGAGCATACAGAGGACGTGAAGAAGGGTACACTGTAATGCCTGTGTCTGGCAGAAGGGGGCAGACTTGACCTTTGACCCTCAACTATTAAGAATCATTGATTTGGCTTTGGCTACTTACTGTATGTTCATAATGAAATACTAGCTAGACACACATGTAGGATTTTTTCCCCCAGAAAAGAAAATAATAATAAATAAGTAAATAATTACATATACATACATACATACATACATAAAACTTTTTCAGCAAACACACTAAATTGATCAAAAGTGACAGTAAAGACTCTGTTATAACAGATTCATATTTCAAATAAATGCTGAAATTTTGAACTTGCTATTGATCATAGAATCCTGAAAAATATGCATCATGGTTTCCACAAAAATATGAAGCAGCACAACTTGTTTTCAACATTGGTAAAAAAAATAAGAAATGTTTCTTGAGCAGCAAATCAGCAAGAATGATTTCTGAAAAATCACGTGACACTGAAGACTGGAGTAATGATGCTGAAAATTCAGCTTTGCATCACAGAAATTACATTTTAAAATACTGTATATTCAAATAGACATGTTATTATAAATGTCAAGACAAGTCAAACGAGCGCGGAAATGGTATGCAATATGCATGCAATATATTATATATGAGTTACATTAAGAACAACATGTCTCGGAAATGTTTTTCAAAACTGTCCTGGAGCAGCCCAGCACTGTCTCCCTCATCTAACACACCCGATTCAACTCATCAGTTCATTAGTAGAGACTTTAAGACCTGAAGTGGGTCAGAAAAGGTAAAGAGATGCGTGTCAGATCCGCGTCACGTTCAGCAGTGGCAGCTCTTAAAGAAACAGCAGCAGACACTCGTTCTAATCCGTTCAATCCGTTCTATTTTTATTTAATAATACTAATTTATTATTCTAATCTTATTAGTTAATGGTTAATGTTCGGATAACAAGTAACGGTTGTCGGTCGGGAAAATAAACCGAAATGAACATCCCTAGACGATTGCTATGTTCATTATAACATCCAACAACAAAACACCTCAATCGCTTAGGAGACATTCTTATCTACAACTGTTCCGGCATTGAAGCAATGGCGGACTGATGACAACTCACTCAGGACGGAGCTGTGATAAAACCAAAGACTGACGCCACTGTCAATCAACAAACGTGGGAGGGGCCTGTGCAGAACTACATCATTCTGCCAAGAATCTGAGATCGGCTTGATTTGAGAAAGGGGTATGGATTTATCAGGATTTTATTTTAAAAACACTGGCTGGATTTTTTATCATTATAGGGTGGTGTACACACAGTGCCAAGACACATTTTAGTTCAAACAACATGTAAAAGTGAATTTTGCATCCGATGTCCCCTTTAATGATAGGTGGGATTAATCGCGATTAATTTTAGAAAAAATGTGCGATTAATTTGTTTTTGTTTTTTTTTCGACTGACAGCACTAATTATTTTACATCATTTCAGTCATTATTCTGTTCATCAGCAGAAAAAGAAGAAAAAAGAAGAAAAGTGATGGTTATGACATGTTGATATTTATGTCATAATACTGAATGATTACCACATTCATATTCACCATATTTTTAACACTCCAAGATATATATATATATTTTTTTTTCACAGAATACCTTGGCACATGTCTAAAAAAAAGTTTTAAGTTTTGGTACATTTTTGTTAGTGATATGTTTTCCAATCTAGGTCACAAGATGAATCTATATATAAATGCAGAGCTATATTCAGTAGGACAGAGCTATATTCAGTCACCTTGTGTCCATTCCACACAGTTACACTGCAGGTGTACACTGCAAACTATATATATAGACATACACACACACTGTTATATATATATATATACAGTGGGTACGGAAAGTATTCAGACCCCCTTAAATTTTTCAAATATATATATATATATTAGTATAGTATGGTGTCTCTCACCTGCAGGTCTCGGATGTCAAATGGCTCTTCATAGATATAGGCTGCATCCGCTCCAGCTGCCAGCCCGCCCACCGTTGCCAGGTAACCACAGTAACCGCCCATCGTCTCAATGATGAACACACGACGCTTGGTTCCGCTGGCCGACTGCTTTATACGATCACATGTCTGACACACACATTTTTATAGTTAAAGAATGAAACATATCTGTTATTATCACACTCATGCACAAGCCAGTGCAGTTCTGACACATAACGTAAACATTTAGACATACAGGATATTACTGAAGTATAACAAAAGCATAAAGCATGGTCCAAAATTAACTGGCCAATGGTGGGTAAATGAAAAAAGTTTTTAAATATTTATTGAAAACATTTTGGAAACAATTCTTTAATAATAATTTTTTTCAATCATAAAAAATGTGCACTTGTTGAGTGTTAATTTTGGACCTGTGCGCAAGCCATCACATGCAAGCACAAGGCACAACAACAGAGAACGTGCATGTGGTTTCAACTCATAAATAAGTGTTTAGGTGCAGTTCCTTTTTTGGGATGATAAATGTTTGCCATGCAACTTAGGAAAATATACAAACGTTTCAGATCAGCATAGAAATCTTTCCTGTAGTGGACAAAAATGGTTTTGTATGTTATTTAACCTCAGATAATGTAACTTGCATCTAACGCTTAATATCTCATGGGCAGATATTTATGTGAGGACAGAAAAAAAAAATAATAATAAGAGACCTGGAAAAACATTCTGTATGCATTTCTCATAACCAGATATGATTGTAAAAATGTAAAGGTGCACTAAGAAGTTTTTTCAATTGTAAAAAAAAAATAAATAAATATTAATTATATTTTTATATATATTCTTTAAAAAAAATTACATTTGACAAATGCATTTAAAGTGACATTTATCATTTTATGGTACCTAAAAGCAAATCACATGACTAGCCGAACACTTCACTTTTTCACAGTAAACCATCTACCATTGTTCACTTCATCTCGGAATAAATTATGCATGTCAAAAATGTATTTGAAGTGGAGAAGTTATGGTACTGATAAGCATATGTTTTTGTGTGTGTGTGTGTGTGTGTGTGTGTGATTTTTGTGTCAACCCAAAACAGTAGGTGTCAGTATAAAATCCAAGAATATTGTATGAGTCTCTAAGAAATAGTTCACCCAAAAATGAAAATTTGCTGAAAATGTACTCACCCTCAGGCCATCCAAGAGTTTGTTTCTTCATCAGAACAGATTTGGAGAAATTTAGCATTCCATCACTTGCTCACCAATGGATCCCCTGCAGTGAATGGGGGCCGTCAAAATGAGAGTCCAAACAGCTGATAAAAACATTACAATAATCCGTAAAACATTGATTGATGGACATGTGGATTACTTGTGGATTACTGTGATGCTTTTATAAGATGTTTGGACTCTCATTCTGATGGCACCCATTTACTGCAGAGGATCCATTGGTGAGCAATAAAAACATCCAGTAAATTTTCATTTTTTGTTGAACTATTTCTTTAACCAAAATGACTTAGTGCACCTTTAAAGATACAGCCTGACAAATTCTCTCTTTCCATTTCCGCTGTGCTGATCACTATCCTAACATCTGTCATTCCGGCTGAGGGTGGTGCGTCTTACCTCCACTATGGCATTGAGGGAGGTGTCAGCGCCAATGCTGAGGTCAGTGCCGGACACATTATTACTGATGGTGGCGGGCAGCATGCACATGGGCACACAGAACTCCTCATACCTGCTGCGGGCATCGACCAGCTGCAGCAAACTCTCAAAGGCCCGCAGCAGTGCACATGCATTAGGATGACTGCTCACTTACTTACTAGTGTACACTAAATAGAACGGAATATGCTGTACTTTCTGATTGTTTTGAGGGGTAAAAGTGTTTCCTGTCTGATCAAGACCAACATATAGTTGACCAACAGATGGAGCTCCAACTCGTGACGTGGGCATGGCCCTGGCTAAATGGTGACGGAGGGAAGTTATTTAGATAGCAGAAAGCCTCACAAACCGACTGACCGAAAAGTGCGACCGACTGAACACACCTGCACAACCAGACCAATCTGCAGCACAACCAGACCCAAAACAGCACATCAAAACACACACATGCAGACAGAAACACACAAGACATCAGGCCTGGCCCAAAACAGCATGCAGTTTGTTGCACTTACATTTGATTTGATTTGTTATTAACAACTTAATGTCTATGGACAGAATGTTGCATGCATTCTAACTGAAATATTAATGCAAGAAATCATCAGTTTGACACAAATGCTGTCCATAGACATTAAAATGTTACTGAGCATCAGTGATTAAGAACTAAAGCATGCAATAATTTTTTACTGCTGAAACCCACAAAATGAAAAGTTATTCCACAACAACATAAATAGGATATTTTAGCCATCAAATGGTTTTAGTTGTTCAATTGTTCAGAGTTTATATATATATATATATATATATATATTATATATATAATTTTGGAAATAGCAGAACCAAGCTCAAAAGAAAAAGTAATAATAAATTAATTTTATAATACTTTTATAATAAATAACAATTTTATACATTAAATGATAATGTTTTCACATCACATGCAATATAATCAAACATAAAATGCAATATAATAATTATTATTGTTATTATAATTTGGCTCTCAAGTGTGATTGTGCTGTAGTGACGATAAACACATTGTGTTGGACCAGGCCTGCAATATAAACACACACAAAGCACAGTTATAGAGTCAAGTGTGAGACTGGGTGACAGGTTGTGCTGTGTGACCACATGCGTTCGTCTGCAGACACACTGATTCAGTCAGGCTGCAGTGATCACCAACCTCACCATCACACACACTGTTATCTCATCCTACCAAATGCACCTCTACTTCATACTACAATACAAAACTCTACCTATAGAGCTGTGAGTCAACCTACTAAACACAGCAAGTATGTTTACATGCACTTTAAAATTTACATTTTAGATGGACAATAGTAATTTGTTTAAAATGTCATGTACACAGTGAGTATATATATATATATATATATATATATATACATTTTTGTATTTTTTTTATTTAAAAATATGCACACATTTACTATGCCAGTACGGCTTCGTTAATGTTTCTTGTCTTGGCAAATTAATTTATGAATTAAATAGATCACATATATGATAGCCTGTTTTTTTCAATACAAACAACAAAATCTGAATAAAAAGTCAAGTATTTTGCATCACTGGATATTACTGTTGAGTTGAAAACAGTTGTCAAATATAACATTTTTAACTACTTACATATTACACTCTTTCATTGCTACAACTGAAGTGTTATGCTGCCTTCTTTGATTTTATTGCCCATCTCAATCATTTTGACATTGACAAGTACTGTTAGACCATTGAGGCAGACCAGCCTAAAAATGTAATTTTTAAAACTTTTTTCATTCTAACAACATATTTGTTGGCTTCAGAAGGTTCCAAATGGCTTTTTTGTTTTTGGAGCATGTTACAGAAGAACTGTTTTGGGTTCCCCAAAGAAAGAATCTTTCAGTGAATGGTTCTTAAAAGAACCATTTTTTCTTAGTGTGAAGATCATTTTAATCTAAAGAACTTTTTTTCCCACTATAAAGAACCTTTAGTGCAATGGAAAGGTTCCATGGATTTTAGATGCCAAAAAAAGAACCTTTAATTTTAAGAGTGTGTATGCTTAGCCAGACAAAGTATTATGTATTGTAACTGTACATGTAAACATACTTAATACAACCAAGCACAAGTTTACCTGTTAAACAGCTCTCTCACCCTCCAAATGCAGCTCTGTTTAAACTAAAAATGCAGCTCTACCTCACCCCAAATAGAAATCTACCTCATCCCACTAAGCACCAATCTACCACACTTTCTATGCTTTGCAATGTATCTAAAAACCAAATGTACCTAAGGTTGACTCTTATGCTGCAACCCAGAAAGTGTTGTTTAACCGCAGGGCTCTACGCTTATTTTTCTTTTTAGGAGAAGTGCTCCTAACTTAAAAAATTTAGGAGCACAGTCAAAAATTTAGGAGCACCTTCTAATCAATAATCCAAAATTTGATCACGTCAAGTATTTTTAGTCTGACCTGTGTGTTTCCTGACTGGGAGGTTGGCAATCATCAGCCCTGACCTTTCAGCATATCTCACTGACAGAACAGTGCTCTTGACAAACAGATACACATGCCCACCACCCCACACACACACACTCTCTGACACGAGTGTGTGCCGTCTTACGTCCGTGATGGCGTTGAGGGCCGTGTCTGCCCCGATACTCAGGTCTGAGCCGGGGATATTGTTGGACACAGTGGCCGGGACCATCACCATGGGAACACAAAGCTCTGCGTGTTTGGAACGAGCTGCTTGCAGCTCCAACAGCCCCAAATATGCCTGCGGTCAGAGCAAGGACTTATGGGTCACTGGCCAGAATTATGGGTAATGTTAAGAAGGGGGAGGGGCAGAGAGCCATGCCCACTATGATAATGAAGGTAGGAAGATACTGTAAGTATTAATGTAGAATTTTTACTTGGTGTTTGTTGTATTCTGGCACTTTAAGATGTTTTACACTACAGTTCAAAAGTTTGGGGTCTGTAAGATTTTTTTTTTTGATGTTTTAATCTTTTATGGTCACCAAGGCTGCATTTATTTGATAAATACAGAAGAAGAAAAAAACGTAATATTGTGAAATATTATTACAATTTAAAATAACTGTTTTTTTAATATAATTTATTCCTGTGATCCAAAGTTGAAGTTCCAGCATCATTACTCCAGTCTTCAGTGTCACATGATCAATATATTATATTTTATACAAGACAAGACATTTTATACTTATTATTATTATTATCAATGCTGACAACAGTTGTGCTGCTTTATATTTTTATGGAAATCATGGTACATTACTTTCAGAATTATTTGGTTAGTAGAAAGTTTTTTAACTTTCTACTAACCAAATAATTCTGAAAATAATGTACCATGATTTGCACATAAATATAAAGATCATGTTTAAAGATCATGTTTTAAAGATTTCAAAATAAATGTTATTATTTTTAGATTACTGTCACTTTTGATCAATTTAATGTACTCATCAAATAAAATTATCAATTTCTTCAAAAAAAAATCTTACTGACCCCATTTTTTAATAGTAGTGTACGTTGTAAAGATTTTTATCTACTGTTTAGGTTTTTATATACTGTAAGATATTTATTTTAAATAAATAAGATAATCCAAATCAATGTGATATTGTGCCTCATAATTGTTAAATAAAGTGTTATTTTCTTAGAAACCAATGTATATCTGGGAACATAAACCACTGTAAATTGTTGTTTTTCACCTGTAAATAGCCATTTTATTTAATAAATATGATAAAACAGTGATAAAATAATTTACAGACATTATGTCATCCTAATGAAAAATGCTGGGAAAAGGAGTTGACTCGACTTATTTTTAGTAGAAACTTCAATGTCATAGAATCAAAATCTTATTTACTGATTGATATGCAGCAAAATATGTACAAAAACGTATTACTGTAAAGCATATTTGTACATAGACACTGCAAATGTTACATTACATACCTCAAAACCTCCAATAACCAGTAAAGCGTTAATGTTGTGAATCTTCATCTGTTCTGCAATTTTATCAATGTGCTTTGCTGGAAGAGTTCTGAAAGGATACCAGAAAAAATCCTATTCATTGCATACATGCATATCAGTGTTTTTTTTATTGACAATAGGCCCTTATAAATATAATCTTACCTTTTTGTTCCTAGCAGAGACCCGCCCTGGCCTGTCCAGCCCCCAACATCACCCCAATTGATTTCTTTTATCTGCGAGAAAGCAGGAAAAAAAAAAACAAGGAGCACATATGGGATGGACATTTGCTTTAACTCCTGTATCTCTTCATCTGTTACACAAAGCAACAGAGAATATTTGTAAAATGGCTGGAGACACATACAATCAAATATAATTGTCCAAATAAGCAAGAAAATGCCTCAAACATGCATTTAAATGGCAAACATGCATTATCGCCATTAGCAGCATTACCTCTGAAAAGAGTAAAGTAGTATCGAACAGATCTGTAATACTATACACTAGGTTAATTATGGCACTGAGCACAATGCAGCAGGGGATTGTGGGATGGAATAATGGGCTTACTGTAATCATGACTCTTTATCTCATTTGGGAAGGGATTGATTTACATACACACGTCCATATGCAGACATGTAGTGTTTCACAGACTGGGGTTGCCACCAGATTCTTTGCAAAATTATTTGTCAAAATTGAATGGCATTTCCACCACTGCTTAAATCATATATTGTATTTGACAACATTAAACATTTTAAACAATTTTAGAATAAAACATCAGATTCCTTAGTCTTGCTAGGGCTAATTTTTCACAAAATATGCATTATATTTTAACACTTTTTGTATAATTTGACAAAATTTAATTAGAACTTGATTGGAAATTTTGCATAACAAATGATAGTGATTATAATATTAAAAATAATCTATTCTGTTCTCAAGCGATATTTACCTTGATTTTTGATTACGCTGGTTTTACCTTGATTTTCAAAAAACTTTTATTAGAGGTAATTATGGTTAATAACCTCCATAATAAACAAACTAATGTCGTTAATTGTGATGGAAATAATGCCACAACAATGCAATATTTGTAAAAACTTTTTGAAATAGTTCAGAATTATTTCACTCTTCATTTTGGATTATCACACTTTAAAAAAAAAATCTGTAATATTTTTTATAATGGATATTCCTGATTTAAAATTGAAAGTCTGTGACTGGGAGAAGAAAAAAAACTATTATTATTATCTATGATTATCTATTAGCATCTACATAAAAAGTATTTGAAAAGTGCCAAAAATACATGACGAAACATCATCAACATAAAAATCCCCATAATTAACAAAACACCAATTAAACATAATGGTCTGTTAGTTTGCATTGCATTACCTGTCCCTTATAGAAGCCCTCAAATCCATCATTTACAGCAAACAAAGTGTGGCCTTCGGTGATCCCCACCCTGACGGCCGAACGCACGGCTGCATTCATGCCAGCTGCAGGAGCGCCAACATTCAACACAGCCACGTTAAATGAGCTCTAGAGAAGAGAAGAGAGCATTATCACAAAACTTAAACACAACTAAACACACAATCCCGAGTCCTCTCATTCATGAACTCAGGCCTGCGTCTCAAAGTGAGTCACATGACCTCAAAGGTTTATAGAGCAGAACGATTTGGAGTCTAATCTGTTGCACAACACAGAACAAAATCCTGGATTAAGTTGCATTTGTGAGATTGTGAGTAAATTGCTGCAGAAAACATCATGACTATGTACAAAGATGATTCAGTCTTTCTTCCTACACTCACAAACAGGTAAATACCAGGAAAGAATGCTGTGAAAATAAATCTACATTGTTTATCCCTTTGATCTTTCATTCAAAAAATTCACAATCTACCTTTCACTGAAGCAAAACAATATATTATATTATTATATTTTATACTTGAGAAAAATATATATTATATTTTATACTTGGAACAAATCAATCAAATGCTTACTAAGGAAAAAAATTGTAAAAGGAACTTCAGGAATCTATAAGATGAAAAGGCATTCAATATTCAATTCTATTCTATTCTACTCTATTCTATTTGTATATTTCATTTCCATGTACATACATGTCCTTCCTGTGTTCCATCCTCATCCCCGCAAAAGAAAATAAATAATCATATTGAGCTGTCAGTGTCACAGAAATAGGCTAAGTCAGAGGAGATATGTTATACACATTATTAATAATAATAAGATGAAAGTCATTATCACTTACATGTGGAAGTTCAGTATCAATTTTGCGATGGGACAGGAGTTTGTAAGTGTTCAGGTTGTTTTCGAAACTTCTAAAAATTTACAAAGAAAAACGAAAAAAGGATCTAAAAAGTCATTCAGACATTTTCTGTTAGGTTAAAAGCACAAAAAGTAAGATGACCCGCTTTACATTTGACATTGACATCTGCTCTGTAAAATGATGATTTTTGCGGTTTACCTGCCACGCAGTTTTACAGCTTCTTCAAATCGCTTTTCATCCATGGCCTTCTGAACCTCCTGTGTCTGCAATACGACAAACAATATATTTCCTGAGAACTTCAATACATTTACATTTAGTCATTTTGCAGACGTTTTTATCCAAAGTGACTTACAATTGGGGAATACATAAAGCGATTCTTCTTAAAGAGGCAAACAGACACACAAGTGCTTGTAATACCAAGTTTTAGGCAGTGTTCAAATAAGTACAAGCTAGAAAGGGAAGGAATAAATAAAGGGAAAGATAGAGTTTTTTTTTAAATTTAGGATGAAGTCAACACTGATGTTATCCCATGCCTTCTGCAACTCAAGCCAAAGGCTTTCCTTTGAATGTACAATAGATCTGTCCAGTTTATTTTCCAACTCGCCCCAAATTTGCTCGATGGGGTTGAGAACAATAGATCTGTCCAGTTTATTTTCCAACTCGCCCCAAATTTGCTCGATGGGGTTGAGGTCCGGACTCTGAGGGGGCCAGTCCATCATTTTCAATGTTCCAGCAGATTCCTTCCGTAGCAGATAGTTCCGGCAATAGTTCGTTTTATGGGTATTGTAATGGCCAATTCAACAAAAACAACTGAAACCTCTTAAATATGCCATGTGTTCTAATAATTTTGGCCACCACTGTATATTTTTGTCATCATTTTATAAATACACACATATCTTTTATATTTACTTGATATAAACGTGTTGACCGGTTTTGGGATGGATAAACATGTACATGACACATATACCCAAACGTGTATCAGACATACATAAACATAAATATTTGCATGGGCTAGATTTATGAAATTGTTCCAATTGCTAATGTGTTATATGTTTTACTTCATAAGGCAATATATTTCACGTATGGAAATTTAATATGTGTACATATATTTTTTTCTTTTTTTCTTTATTTATGGCTGGTCTTCTAACCTCTCTTACTGATACAGATGTGGAAAGATGACAGGAAACAAGAACTCATGTGAACTAACCACTAGGCCAGGCTCCCAGACTTAATAAGCTTCACTATAAACATTAAAACCCAAAAGACTGCCATTAGCTGAGTTACTTTCTCACCATCTGAACGCACTCCATCAGAGGAAGCCTGACAGCCTGGTTCCCACACAGAGACACCACACATGCTGGAGTACCAGGAGACGCTTCTAACAGGGCCAACACGGCTTCCACTCCCATACGACTCGCCTACGGAGGAAAAGAGAAGAGACTGAATACACCATGTCAGTGTTTTTTCCCAATTCAATCATATGTGATTTATTCAGTCAGGACCATACCAAAATCCGGTCAAAGGCAGAAGGTGTTCCTCCTCTCTGGACGTGACCCAGAATGGTGACCCGCGTGTCAAACCCCAAACAGCGTACCACCAGCTGCAGTAGAGACAACACACAATCTTCACTTCAAATCAAATACAGATGTTTCTCAAACAGATCCAGCAAGTTTGTGAAATTAAAAGTTTTAATGGCAGATATACACTACCGTACCGGACGATTTTGTAATGTTTTTTAAGTCACTTATGCTCACCAAGGCTGTATTTAGTTGATTAAAAATACAGTAAAAATAGTAATATTGTGAAATATTTTTGCAATTTAAAATAACTGTTTTCTGTCTTAATATATTTTAAAATGTAATTTATTCCTGTGATGCAGAGCTAAATTTTCAGCATCCTTCAGAAATTCTAATATTATGCTGATTTGCTGCTCAGTAAAACATTCTTGTCATTATCAATGCTGAAAACAGTTTTTGCTGCTTAATATTGTTGTGAAAACTATTCATTTTCTTTCCAGGATTCTTTGATGAATAAATAGTTCAAAAGAATAGCATTTATTAAAACTGATTTTTGTCTGTAACAATGCAAATGTCTTTACTTTCATTTTTGATCAATTTAAAGCACCCTTGCTAAATAAAAGTATTGATTTGTGACCCTGGACCACAAACCCAGTCATAAGGGTCAAATTTTCTAAATCTGAAAGCTGAATAAATAAGCTTTCAATTGATGTATGGTTTGTAAGGATAGGACAATATTTGGCCGAGATTTTTGGCTATTGCTACAAATATACCCATTCTACTTAAGGGGCCGTTCACATGTCGCGCCTAAAAACGCGTGGAAAACGCTAGGCGCGCCGCTTTCTGCTTTTTT